CTGCTGCCCCTCTACACACGTCCTTATAACAGGCGACTCAAACGCTCCAGCAATTCACTGGATTAGGACTAACTCCAGTGATATCTTATTCGGTTAGCCCCTTCTAGACCCTATTACTGAGGGATTATGGCACAAACACGTACGCTCTCCCACCAGATTTCGCCCGGGCCAGTCCCTTTGTCTACTCGATTTGGTGATAACGAACAATTGGCACCAAATCGACTAGGTCTATACTCCCTGCCTACTTGGCAAGAATGACCACTCTCTCCTGAGCTTTGACTTAATCGTTCATTGGCCATGTTATAAGTGAGCACCAAGAACCTTGCGGTGCTTCAAACGGACCAACTTCGCTACTCTAAGAGATTCTTCGGCAGCAAATCTGACTTCTGTTAACCTATCTTCAGAAGCGAACGGACCCAGTGATCAAATTGAGAACGTACACCGAACAGGCGACTGCGTGTTCGTTCCCAAGATATTTACCCCGACCAAAAGCCGTCCTCCTCTTCCACGCTCAATACGTTGACTTCTGGACGAACGGAACGATTTCTGCAAGGTACAGGCTCATAAACTTGGTTAGTGACGCGGATAATCTCAAACATATCCGGAACCTATGCAAAAGCAAGATTAGGGAATTCTTCAACCGGGAACAAAAAGATATCTTAGTTAGGGCAAGAAGAAACCCCTGCTGTTTTTTCAAACTTCTTCGCCATAGAAGGTGATCCAGTTCCTCTACTGTAGCCCTGAAACTTCCTGACGGCTCCCCAATCACCCCACTTGAAGAAGTAGCGGACACCTTCCGAACTCACTTCCGAGATATTTTCGACTTCTCTCTAACTACTTTCTTTTATGCTGTACAGCCTAAGTCAGGTATAGCCCCCTTTGGGCACCTCAATGTTCCGATCGAGGAGGCACTCAGACTTCTAAAGTCACTAAACCCTTATACCTCAACAGGCCCAGACGAGATCCATCCCAGAATACTCAAAGAGAAAGCAGCTGTACTAGCCCCACATAACGGGTGGTTGTTCCGGAACTACCTAGGTAAAGGTGAATTCTATGATGTCTTGAAAAAGGCTATCATATCACCGATCTACGAAAGGGACCTCGGCATCACGCCAGCGGCTACAGACCGATGAGTCTAACTAGCGTCCCCAGAAAAATCTTTGAACGTCTCATTAAGAGACATATTAATCAACACCTGAAGGAAAAGAACCTTCTTTCTGCTTTCCAACACGGCTTTGTTCCTGGCGGATCATGCATCACCAATATGCTATGTCACGGAAAGTCTAACCCAGGCATATGATGACAATAAAATCTCACATGCAATATTCATAGATTTTGCCAAAGCCTTTGATCGAGTACCACATTCTCCACCAATACACAAGCTGGAAATGTGTGGCATTGGAGGTAGGGTTCTTAATCTTCTAAGCAGCAATCTATCCTCGTGCTCCTTCTCTGTTGGAGCAGAAACCACTTTCTCCAAATCTTCCCCAATGACAATAGGTTTTTCCCCAGGGATCCGTCCTAAGTCCACTCCTTTTCATTTTATACATAAATGATCTCGCGGACAAAATCCCAGTTCACATTACTGTCTATGCTGCGGATGTCACAATCTGGGGGAGTGGCACATCAACAGTGCAGGCAGCCATGAATATCACCGAAGCATGGTCATCAGACTGGAGCCTGCCAATCAATGATGACAAATGTGTAAGTATGCCCTTTGGCAGGGGTTGCGCGCACACCATCTATTACGGGAACGATAACAGATATAGCGTACGACGAAATCTGAATTGTACTTAAGGACTCTGCGAACAATACACAGCTAACAGCAGGAAAACAACGCGTAAGGTAGGACGAATGAGCTCAGTCTAGCGACGGGAGCTAGCAGTAAACGGCGATCCTGTGAATCCAGACTAAAAGCACGGTCTGGGCAGAAAAAACGGCTTTGGGCAGCGGTAATAATATTGAACGTGGTTCTATAAATAATTACAGTATCAAATATATAAAAATAGGCACTCACGACTAAATTCACNACACGACATCGACTTAACTATCGCATCAAGGTCAGAATAGAAAATCAACAATTATAAAGGGCAGTAATGCAGTTAAACAGAAATAGAAAAAGAGGGAAAGCATATAAATTTTAGGTCTTGTATACAGCCCAACGAGTTGGGATATGGTGTAGCGCAAAAAATGGGTAAATGTTAAAGTTTAGATAATAAAGGATTCTCAAATCTTTAACACTCCCCCAGTGGTTGATTTCTTTGCTTGCTGTAGTTCTTCCTCCAGTTTTCCTTCTAGAAGACACAGCTGCTGCAAATCTCTTCTCAGTATTCCTTTTCTGGTCTTCACGTCAACCTGGCGAACACATTTGTCTGCACTGGTGACAACTTCGTCCACGGTTCCTTTAAGCCGCAGACCCTTTGAGGTGTGTGTATCACAAA